TCACATCGATGGAAGCCTGAACGGTCGGCGACATACACTGAAGCATGTCGACTTTCGTCTTACTTTTGGAAGAGCGTACTGGCCAGCTAGGCGAGATTTCCAGACCCTGGTCTCGCACCTGGTGGCCGCTTCGACAGAAATTGAGAGCCTGCGCATAGATATCCGCCTAGTCTATTGTGACTGGAAAACATTAGCATGCTACTTTTTGGCTATGAGACCCGTTACCACTCTCTCTGGCTTCGGGAACCTGCGAAACCTTGAAGTGCCACAGGAGTTTCTTAGACAGAAAGTTTCGGAGCAAACCGCATCCTGAAGGTGATCTTCGACTCCTATTGCCTTCAACGATTGAGAGCTTGACCATCATTTGCCCTGATGGTATGGCTATCGTGTGGCTCCACAAACTCTCCCTCGTTCTGAGCCACTTCAATGCGCTGCGGGGTCTTGCGCTTGAATGTATTCCAAGACATGGTCGACTTGCCTCATGGTTCCATAAGCGCCGCGATCCTGTCTTCGACACATTCCGCGATAGAGGCATTTGCGTGCGTATATATGATGCAAAAGCTGGTTTCAGGCGTCTTCAGGCGTCCTACTATGTCGACGCGCCCGCTCTGAGACAGAAAAAAGAAGACCCTTTCCAAGACTCTCTGGACATCTCACGCTTCTTCGGTGAGGACGCCGGATGCGCAGAAACATAAGGGAGGGTTTGGTTCGGTAAAGACGATAGTTGCATGCTTGTCGATAGATGCACTACTGGCAAAATAGCAATCAATGATAGGCGCCTCCAATATCAAAGAATATTTACAGGGCTTTCAGAACAATATCGGCTAAGAGCGATCTGACTGATGTTGTAAGAGGGCGAAACTCACCGTCAATACACTCAAGGCTTTCCTTGTAGAATGAAATGCAACACATAATAATGCCGCTGTTAGCTATTTCCACTTCGTGAAGGTCAATCAAGAAACAGATATGTCAGCATGATGCTAGATTTGGGCACAATGAGATGGTATAGTGTAGGTGGGAGGAGAGACGACCCTGGGGAACGTATCGCAGAATCGGAGGTTCGGCGAATCAATCCGCCGACATCCGAAGCCGCAGTTTTCCCGAAGCCTCGGCCATGAGCCTCAACTGTCTGGCAAGTCAACTCTGTGCATCACCGCTATCATGTACTTTGCACAGCTACGACCAGAATTGGCAAGCGATCTCCCGTTGCTTCGACTCGCTCCAACCTCCTCTTCTCAACGTCGCGCCTCCGGTCGTTGCTACCGATGTTGTCCACACCATACACAAGCGCACCCTTCGTGGTCACGGGTGATGGCAACTGCTGTAACCAATGTTACAGTCTCCGACTTTGCAGATTATCGCTTTGTACAGATTCGCAATAGCCGACAACAAGCACCATCATAAGGGACCGCCAAATCACACCATACAAGTCAGAACGACAAGTTTCACTGGGGACTCCAGGCACATACCGTATTACGGGGTCGCGTCGCACACCGAACGAAGCTCACGGATGCTGGATGTCGTTTCTGCGTAAAGTATAGCATGGGTGACAAGGCGGTTCGGCCTCTGGGACGATTCGCAGTACGGGTCCGGCGGTAGGCCTGTCTGGCAGAGGGAGACAGAGTCGCAGCGCATTCGCCGGTCGCATTATCTTCACTGACAGCCAAAGAAGCAGTAACATAATGATGCAGATAGTAATCTTCATCACGCGAGATTTGAGGCTACACAGTACATCCCGGCGCGCAACATGGCGTGAACAAACCCAATACACAACACGACACGCATCCATCCGTTCATCCGATCGCCGCAACCCTACGAAACCTTCGAGCTCGCATACGTAGCGAGATTGCGACAGAGCTAGCAACGGCTGCTGGGAATTCGAACACAAGCTATCTGGAACAACGTGGAATGGCTCTCAATGGCCAGGGCACAAGCTACACGACGCATTAGCATCCTCTTGTAGTACACCGTCGGCGTAATCTGTCCTTGCAGATAGGAGTCCGTTAGCCTTCGTAGTCGAAGTGTGTGCGTAGGTTTTCGCCCCAGCGCGATGACCGTGGGTTATCGAGGTCGCACTCCTGTGAACAAACACAGGGAGGGGGACTATGTTGAGGTCAGCCGCAGTCTCATGAGGAGAAACCATCTACCCACAATTGCGCATCAAGAACAGGCTTTATCCTCGCAACCTCTCCGCTGAAGTCCTTTCGTTTACCGTGTGCGAGGTCTGCCCACCTCGTCTCCCATTTGCGCTGGGTACTGTTCTTGACGTGCCCCCAAAATTTCACTCTTGGTACCTTCTTGGGCGTCCCATAGATCTCCAAGATACGTACATAGAGTAATGTGAAGAACCACTCTATCAGGTACTTCTGGCAAGTATCTTTGACCGCATCCTGTCGTTCAATCGCGAGCCTAGAAACCCTGGTATCATACCTGTCTTCGTGTCGTAGCCCTAATCCGGGTATATGAAAGATGAACTCCAGGATCTCCAACTGTGAGTTCTTGGTCAAACATTCTAGGTATCTCGTCTTTGGTTTGCGTTTTGCGGGGCTACCAATTCTTCGCGTACTTTCGTATCCAAGGAGCCGAAACTGGCTAACGATGGGCATTACCAACGTGACCCGACGAAGTGAAACGAGGCTCGAGGCCTGAGATGGCATCGCTTTTGTTTGACAGATGATATCAGTCAGATCAGATATTCTGTTGAACATCGCCGTAGGTGTTCGCGCAATCGCATTCTATAGCGAGTCGCACATTGCTCGACTGACCGACAACAGTCTCCTTACGCCCGCTTCTTCTTCGGACACCAACCCTGGCAGGCTCTTCCAGGGCTCTGTCTCCCCAGTCCAGCGCGGCGGGTCCGGTTTATTGATGCCAAATCTTCTGTGCCATCTAGTCACTGGAGAATCTTGTTTGGCTGAATTATCTTCGCCGACATAAATGTCTATTTCTTTCGATGTCTCGGCTGTCTCCAGATCCAATGATAACGGGTCATCACCGGTAAAGCCACCGGGCTGATCAAGTTCCTGGTGATCAAGTCGATACTCATCGAAGTCTGGTGTCGCAAACGCCCAAGGCCGCCATGTAGTCCCGGACTTGACTCGCGGCCAGATCACTGGACCCATCAAGGCATCAAAAATTCGGTCGCGCAACTCTTGTGGTAGCTGCATCAAGTTGAAGGTCTTCCCAGTCAATTTCCAGTAAAGACATATGCATGCTCGTTTGCGACTGACACCACCGTATCGCTCACTCAGCCATTGCCGGATGGGCTTCCAGTGCCGATGCTTCCCCCATAACATGCGAACCTCCAAGCCAGTGTCGTCTTGGCGGGAAGGCCGGCGAACGTTAAGCGGGTGATATATGCGTTCTCTAGTTTCATCCACGTCAACAAGTACGAAAGCCTCCGCATTGCTTGGTCGCCTAGTCGCGTGCGGGCGCGCCACCTTTGCAATCTCGACATGGTTCGTATGGGAGAAGAAGGCAAAGCTTTTCTTGCGTTCGTCTGTGAAAATGTCCAAGAAATGCTGAAACACCCGTGATTGGCATGTCGAAGCATCCTGTCATCGAGGGTGAGTTATGCAGCCAACCACTCGGACCTTGAGGCATACCCAGATGAACTCTGACCTCACGATATTCTCAACGTTGCCGCTTGTATCATCTCGTAGCTCTCTGTGAGGTTCTTTCCAGACGAGATCGACGGTGGTAAACGAAAGGCAGCCTGGGAATCGATGGCGGCACGTCCAGCATCTATCACACGTTGATTTTTCCATCGTCAAAGAGGATGCGCTTTATCGGCTATTAATTTGAGCTTTCATGCGGGTGAAATCCACTGGTTGGCGATTGTGGTTCACGCCAAAGGACCTTGGGAGAGGAAAGTTGATAAGGGGCGACTGCGATCCGCATGGCCCGGATGGGTGGTGCGGTTGCGTGCGGGGCTAGGTATTAAGATGCCATCCTACCGTTAGCACTCAAAGTTGCGTGCGGTTGTCATAAGTCGAGAACGATGCCAGAATCACAGCGACGTATTTTACTAATAGTACTGTGAGCGCGAAGATGCCCACGTGAATCAAACTTCGTGTCAAGGGTTTACATCCAATCGCGAGCAGGCTGCGGGGGCCCTGCACCTCATACTTATCCCTATATATATATACCGTTGCTTGCAACACCCAACTCGATGGATGAATTCAAATACATGGCGGTGGTGATCCTCGCTCACCAAAACTTCGTTCCATGTGCTTTTCCATCGTGATGTGACGAGATGGCTTTGACATTACCGTAGCTGGTGCGGTTGGGCTGGCTGGCACGTTGAGCAGTTCGCAGCCAGGCGCGGACTGCGGCAGCCCCGCCGACCTCCGCACTCCGCAGCCTTGGCGAAGGCTAGAGCGCCTTGTACCGTGGACTGGTTTGCATGCTATCGTACCAAAGCGTCGCCCAATTTTTCTTCATTAACTGCGACTCCCCCACCGCCAGCCATCCACCTGACCGAATCTATCGCTTGAACTCCACAGAAGCCAAAGACCTCACTTAGCTTGGATCAACCTGCGCATACGACAACAAGCTTTCGACCAAGCTTCAGAGAGTCAGCTCACACAAGACTGTAAGTGAGCTCAAAGCCTCTGGCGGCGCCTGGCTGAGCATGCAGCTGACCTCTGATATAGCTGCCCACGCCGAGGACCTCTCAATACGCATCAAAACCTCGATCATGCCGACCCTTCTCGGATTGCCCCGCGAGTTACGCGATCTCGTCTACGATCACTACTTCAGCGTCAACAGCGGATACGTACACAATTTTGCATCGAATAAACTCAGGCAGGCGGATAGTCAAAACATTAAGCTTTCTTTAGTGCTTGTGTGCAGGCAGATCGCCGACGAAACACGCGCACTTAGGCTACGTATCAACACACTTCGCTTCTCGACATACCATTCAGATGCCACCCAGGTGCAGGCCGGTCTTCTCCACGCCACTCATAAAAGCATCAATAAACGCAAAGTGTCGCTACTAAATGCGTCGGCTCCAGACCTCCTCAATTCAGAGAATGCACGTACAATAAAGATCAAGTATCCGCAATTCGCCCCAATAGTTAACATCTGGCGCTCTCATAGTAGTCTTCGTATACTCGATAGGAGCGACGTAGATTGTGGCGAAGCGCTATCGATTTGGCGTGATTTCGTGGCGTTCAGCTTGAACCTGGTTTCCTAACATCTAGGCTTCGCTGCGAAAGCCAAAGCAGGGTCTCAATTTTGGAGACCGTACGATATCGATGATGCTATGGACCTGAACAACGCCTGCTTTGAGCCTTGGCGTATCGTGAACGCTACAGAAATCGAACGGCTGCGAAAGAAGGTTACGTATGTATGTAATAGCCTACCCTATACTTGGCCCAACGCAAGGTACAGCTACTCGGCAGCAACAGTCGGCCTTCGGTTCCTCGACTCACTTTACAAATCTGCTCGCGAAACTATCAGGAAAATCGTGCTGCTAGAAGACCATCAGTCCATAGCGGACCCTGCAAGTCACGGCAGAGGGTACATCACTCTCTGTCAATCGCATCCGCAAATGCGAGTCGAGCGCGTGGTCAATCTCTGGGAAACGGTGTTTCCTGTCGCAAGTTCCAGTATCCATGACTTCCTACACGGCAACCAGAACCTTGTCACGGAAGGACTGTTGGATGATGAACGATGCCCTGCTGGTGAAATAACCAAGGCAGTGGGTATGTGGATAAAAGAGGCCATGGTTCTATTTGCACTGGGTATGCCCAAAGATTCCTTCACGTTGGTACTCGATGGCAACCCTATCCCGGAACACACCTCCCACGTTTTTAGCACGCTTCAGCGCGATGCTGCCTGGCAAGACGCCTTCGACGCCTGCTACGTTCGTGGTATACTAGCAGAACCGTCCTGGTTTGATCGGCGAATCAACCAAGGGTACATGTATGAAGGACTGCCTGAAGTGGTTCGCACGCTGTCGCCCATCAGCTCGCCGATTCGTACGAACTTCCTCCTTGGTTCTGCGGAATCCTATGACGTCGAGCGGCTACTACAGGAGAATCAAGGATGGTCTCTCCAGGACTGGAAGGAAGGCTGGGCAAGACATGAGCCGGAAGAGTTCCAGACCGAGGCGCCGCTGCCCCCATGGCACCTTCTGCGGTGGGGTAACGTCATCTTGTAAGCCTGAGTAAGACTTAGTTCGTGGACCTCAAAACATTGCTTCTATGGGAGATTTTCGATAGATCTGTATGTAGAGTCAACTTCGATGAATCCATGCTCTTTCGATTATCTGTGCTCGTATAATGCTCTGCACTATGAAGGTGATCTGGCACTCCAACAGACTTGATATATCGTTATCACTATGGTGAAACCGACATCGTGAAACTGACGCAAGATCGCACATTATTGCTTTGGCCGCTCAGCGAATGGCGGTGGAGAAACATCAGAAGGCCGGGGCAAGCCAAAGCATTGCCTCCCGATGACAACGGGCGCAAGCTATGACTCGCCAACCTGGCCAGCACGTTCGGAATGAGTGGATGACCAGAGGACAAGGATTTCATCATCCAAACACTAGTCGTGTTCACCGGAGCTGCATGTAAGCGTTTGTCTACATAGCAGGAATTTGACGAAAGATAACCTTCTCTGAGTGTTAGGCGCAGTAGTACGCATTGGTTCAGATAAAATGCTTGTTACCGGAGGGCTCACTGACGGTTCCCATGTAATGCCTCATTCTTGGAGGTGTAAAACTCACGATAGCGCTGCTCTCGAAAGCCTACCTACCTAGGTAGGTACTGTTTCGGCTAGGAAGACATCTGCAGGCTGGAGGTATCCACGTACTATTCTACTACCTGAGTACCAGTAGTACACTGCAAATCCCTTATCACAAAACGTGAGCTTCAGCGTACGATGTGTTCGCACGTCTAGACCCATGCGGTGCTGGGTCCGAGAAGGTTGGGCAATCGGAAGGGCCGAGCGCTGCGTCGCGTCGCGTTGCCTCACGACGCGTCACAAGGAGCTTCTGCCTACCTCCAGCACGTATCCCACGAGAGGACCACGGCACCCTACAACAGTCATACCCCGGTCTCATCAGCTCTAATATTTGAAATATAAGTAACAACGTAATTCGGAACTCCAGAGTGTTTTACACTGATGGCAGCTCGCTTGGCAAACCGAAGAAAAACGGCAAACGGGCTGCAGGTTGTGGAGTCTTCTTCGCCCCAAACGACCCAAGGTAAGTGAAGAAGCGGATGCTGCACAAGCCTTTGCTCTGTGCTGCTTGTAACGCAAGCGCTCAACTGACATGCTCATAGAAACTACGGAGGTGCGCTAGGCCCCAACCCTCAGACGAATCAACGCGCAGAACTCGCAGCCATCTAGGAAGCCTCACGAGAATCAAGTTCACGGATCATGCCACTATTTACACCGATTCACAGTACGCTATGTTCGCATCAACATCGAGGTACTACACACAGAAGCGGAACAGCTGGAAAACACCCGACGGAAAAGCTGTTCCGAATATTGATCTTATCGAACCGATTTTCCAGCTTCTAGTACTGTGAAAGGCTGCCGGTGCAACGACGGACCTCCGCTGGCTCAAGGGTCACTCAGGCTATCCAGGAAACGAAGCAGCTGATAGACTAGCTGCACAGGGAGCAGAGTGCGTTGTAAAGTCTTGCATACAGGCACCAGACTACGGTCACTGATATGTACCAGGCGTGAATGGCTGCGGCGGTATGGCACACCATATTGCGAAGAACCAGCAAGCATGTCGAGCGCTTGGAACCCTCTTCCACGTGGGAAAAAGTTGATTAAGCTTCCAAATGGGGACGAGGCGCTCGTGCCTATCGACGATGTGGATTTGAAACGAAAAGAAGCCAAGGAGCAGAAGAACCTAAAGAATATTCAAACTGCCGAGCGCAACAGAAAGACTGCTCGACGAATTCGCCCAAAAAGCCAGCAAGATGACGACAGAGCTAGCTATGGCTGCCGACCTCGTGAAGAGCAGAACACACAAGCTACACTGAGCAATGTTGGAGTGGCTCTCAAACCCTGAGGCAGGGCTACACGATGTAGCCTCGTTCACTTGTAATACGACATTGACGTGGTCGATATAATATGCCCTTGCGGACCAGAGTTCTAGTCTTTGTAGTCGAATTGTGCGTATACATCCCCGTCCCAGCACGTTGATCCTGGGGCCCCCATGTCGCATGAGTAAGAACAGAATGGCGAAGTGGGCGAAAGAAAGTCAGACGGAAGTGTCATAATACCATTGCGCTGTGCTAGCTACATATTTTCCTCATGTATGAATAGTCCACTTGCCCCGCTTATCTATTGTAACTTCCCGAACCCGACAGATGTGTCTCCCCCTCCCCCTAGGTTGTGTCACGTTCGTATTAACGACTCCGTCTGTTGCAGAAAAGAAAAATCACTATCGACGATATACCATCAAGCTACAATAGCGGTTACGAAGTAATTGTACCGGGGGCTGAGTTGTTCTGGGTCGGTCTAGGCCTGGGCCTGAAAAGTACCCTGACCGTAGTTGGGGCGACCTCTCCCTCCTGAACGTATTCCGATAGCATCGCGTCCCATGTATACGGCAAAGGTGGAACTATATCGCGACCTCGCATCCGAGACCACTTGACATACCAGTCGGCCATTCCCAGACAGTCAGAGTTCGCTTGGATGAGCTCATTGATGTCCCAGTGCCGACCACTGCAATTGTTAAACCGTACCCCTCCAGTCCCAGCAAGGACATCTCGCATGAGATCGGGGAAACCTTCGAAAAAATAGCAAACATAGCGCTGGTATCCTATTCCAGAATAGTCCGGGAGCGAAGGAACGATAAGTCGGCCTAGCCAGTTTTGTAGCGCGTTTTGCCATGTCGCATCCTCGATAACTATGTCAAAAATTGGCTGCATCAGGTCTGCTTCACCTTCGAAGACAAGAGTAAACGATCCTGGAGGCATGCCTGCCGATTGCAAGGCCAAGGCTTCCCTCATCCAAAGAGCGAAGGTTTTGGTAACGTCTCTGTCATACAAGTTGTTCATCACCGCTAAGCCTCGACGCAGGTCAGAGCGGTACTCTTCATAGCGACTAGATTGCAACGAATTAAGGACTGCACCCCAAACATCTGCACGGTGAACAATCTTGAGCTTTGGATTTTCAATCGCAAAGGGTATCAAAGCTCGCGCGTGGCACTCTGGGTGCGAAACGCTCGCATGTGTATCATGAAGGTCGATCGATCGGACGCTGGCCCGAAGATGTTGGGGTAGCTGCGGTAGAAACATTGAAGCCTGTGAAGCGGCAGAGACGTAAAATTTGGTGCGATGACGGACATGCTCGCGGAAGGGGTCGTGTGGTCCGTATGGCAAAAGCTTCTCCATGGACTTGATCTCGTGCTCACTGGGAAACTTCCATGGCTTTGGGTGTAAAGAATGGAAGCTCAGCGCGTCCTGACCTGGCGAAAACTGGAAGCGATGCATTTCGAGCACTTTACGACTTATCTTGCCGAATCTGGGATCCCGGGCAACAAGTCGAAGCAGCTCAGCGATAGCGTCCCGATGGAAGGATGGAGCTTGTCCCCATACGCCTGGCTCGTTCAGCTTGTCATAACCTTGGTCATAACCTTGGTAAAGTCTTCTTTCGGTGTTCATGAGGTGTTTTACCAGGGCCTCGCTTCGTGGGAATTGCTCTGACATTGTGCGAGCTATGTTATCGTCGATGAACTCCCGGGCCCAAGGCAACACAAGTATTTTTGCCATATGGAGGTCATCAAATAAGTGACCATAATGCCTGGCTCTTGTGCTGCATCGCTTAGTGGTCAAGCTGGATGTTGTAAAGTGTATCGTGTTGTTCTGAAGGTGTAGACCTCGCATCTCGGAAGCGATGCTCTTGCATGAGTACATGAGAGACAGTTCGATCTTATCTCCGGACTCGGTGCATAGCTTTCCGGACTCAGAGTTGAAGTGATAACCACCATCTACAGTGGTATAGTAGTTGTATATCATGTCGCGCAGTTCGCGGGGAAGTCGATCGAGCAGCATTGTAGTGAGAGCTATGAGTGTTATATTGAGGAGGTCCGACGATTCGTAGCTTGAGTCTCAAGGTTCTAGGGGTTAAAGATGATTTCATAGTAAAGAAAGTGCGAACGATGGTTTTTATAACCCTCCCGTCAGGCTCCAGCTTCATGAAAAATCACGTGACACACTCGGGGCTATTCATGAACGCTAGAAAAGACCAGTGGGCGCAGTGTGGGTCACTCCCGAAAGAATACCAAATGCATCCAGGCAGATTCTGACGAAAGCAAAAGGCCAGGCGGCAGTTGCAGTTAGAAGTGCTGATACTGGTTCGTTACGTGGTAAAGGTACCATAGTACTATGCGATAACTGTGGATGCCTAGGTGCGTAGCTGGCGCATGTTCTCCGTACCCAATCACGATCTTAAGCAAGATCTCCGTCTAGCGTCCACGGGTGTTACTTGGTTGCGGAGCACGAAGGCTTCCAGCATTCGCACTACCTAGGTATGTAATCACGTGTTTTCTCCATCTACTTGCAAAAGCCTTATCGTGGACATTCAGATCGCCTTCTTGAACCGTGCGGCTACCTGAGTGCGTTATTCATCAAGTCCGCTACATCGAGATAGCTCTACAAGTTGATTTACACCCGTGGACGTATCCCATTGCGACAGTAGACACCCTGCAGTGATGTGTGCATATTCATGATAACAATCTCGATTGATAACACGCTGAGTCTACCTACGTAATGAGCCTGGAGTGGCAGCCCGCTCCAAGCCACCCAGACAGGGCGGCCAAAGACATGAACAACAACGAAACTATCAGCAAGCCGTTCCGCGATCTTGCAGCACTCATTCACCTTTGTGGTCCTAGGTCCGTGGGATAATCAGCCTATAAACGATGACTACCACGACCATCCACCCGGTATACTACAGCCATGCCCGAAGCGCCCTGAACTACGCTTTTGCCTCTACGTATCCCTTGTGCGTCCGCAAGATCTTGACGCAGGATGTGAATCCAACTGAGACACACTCACCTAGTCACTCTTTACCACCTACTAAGTCCTGTCGTCTGGACGACGAATTTCGTACGATGGTACTGCAAAAGAATCGCACATCTCAAGAACTCGAGAGACCAAGCCTGACCCTAAGCTCACACTAATCATAATTTAGACCAGTGGAGGCATCGTGTACTGACGCTGAATATGCTTCCAGCTAGGCCAAGGTTCCACCGGGTCCAAAGAAGTCAGGCTCAGCGCTTTCCATTTTTGTATCCAGGCATCATGAGTGGTGCATGCACGGTTCTCATCGACAAGCCTGCTTCTGCTCACAGGTTCCGATGAGGCCACTCCCGAAAAGCTGATGAATGAATCGCCAGCTAATATGGTCGCCAGCTTTCGGGGAAAATCTTCAGAGAAGTGAAGCGGAGAGCCCCTATGGCCAGCAGCACAGTTGTCGGGCCCAAGCATGGGCGGCGCAATGGATTGGCGTTGAAGGCAGCTCTCCAATGCTTCCTGCCAGACAGTATCATGTTTCATGACATTGACGACGTATTGCACGTAGTCGAGAGTGCCATCGAATATGAGCGAGAATGCGCCTGGGGGCATGCCGGCTGCAGGTAGTGCTAGAGCTTCGTCGATCCATATTGCCACGGTTTCGGTAATTAACGGTCGCGGCATACGTGGACCGCGCACGCTATAGAGGCTCAACTCTCGGGCTATGTCTCGACCATTTGAATAAAACCCTGGTAGCACGTTTTGCCATAGGTCTACATGCCGCTTAACACGCATATTCGGATTTTCGATGCAGAATGGTATTAATGCTTTTGCATGACATTCGGTATAACCGGCGCCTATGTGGTTTTCGTGTAGGCTGATCTTCGTCACTGCGATCCGCAGACCGCGGGGAAGGCTGGCCAGGAAATGTGCAGCCAACGCCGCGGCGGAAAAGCACCGTTTGTAACGCGTGCTACCGTCAGAATCAATGCCACGGAGCCCTGGAATCATCTCTTTGATCCGGTGCAATTCGAAAACGGACGGTATCTTCCACGGCTCACATATTGGAAGTGCTAATGTGTTCATGTGCTTCGCGTGTTTAAGGAAACGCGGGCCCTTAATGAAATCTCCAAGTGCGCGTCGGAAACCCATAAAACCAGGCTGATTCTGGATCTGTTGAATGAGGTATGTGATCAGATCCCGATGCTCGGATGGTATCGTTCCCCAATCTTTTGCTTTGCTTGGTCCTTCCGTGTAACTGCGCCTTCGGCTCGTCAAGACCTGTAAGAGCGAAGTGCAGTAAGGAAACGCTTTCTTCGCGTCTTCAATGATCTCTGCCGTGATGAAAGAACGACAGTGATTCAACAGCTCTAGTCTTCTTTGATGCACATCATGTATCATCGCATGGAAACGAGAGGCTCGAGAGACTGTGGCGGGGTTGTCGTTTAAGGACGCTACGAACTCGATAGTGTTATGGCGGAACATCATACCACTCAATTCTACAGAAGCTTGCTTACACACGTAAGTAAGATTTAGATCGATTGAATCTCCGTTCTGTGTCCGTAACTTGGCGTCATCGGGAAAGTATCGTAGAGGATCGCGTTGCGTGACGTAAAATTCGTATATCAGATCGCGCAGTTCGCGAGGTAGATTGAACAGCCCCATGATGTTCGGGAAGCGTGAATCGGCAGTAGAGGGGTTTTGATGCGGGAGACCTTGGAAGTTTTAAATGTATGTGTTGCACCCAAGCAAATACTTTTGTTTGGGCAGCAAGACTGGTAGGACGGTAGCACGATCAAGGCGCCGAGAATGTGAAAAAGAATATGCAGGCTACCAGGCGGCCGGCGGAAGACAAAGCGTACCCGCTGAGATGAAGGCTGGATTGGATGTGAGTACCGTGGTACAAAGTAGGCTGATAGGTACCTATTCTCACTCTGTGCAAGGAAAGCACCTGCTAGAACTCAGCAATCTAAGAGTCTACGTTGCCTTTGGATTGAAATAAGCCTTTGTCCTTGCTGGTGTAGACTACAGGCATTCGACAAGTTTTGGTCTTGTATGAGATACCCGCAAAGAGGAAGGTTTGATGATCAAGAGGACACTAAAGATCGCTTGGGCCGAGCTAACCTTGGAAGGTTTCCAAAGGTTCCAAGGTTATCATCAGTGTAAATACCAGCATCAACGAATGTTCATCGAGCAATGTAACGTCACCGTGGTAGTGGAGCGTATCTGGCCTCCTTCCACTGGGGAGTTTTAAATTGCAAGGGTTGCAAATATGGGCCGCTACAGTAGATCATATGGAGGCTGCCATAATAGGTACGCAACGAGTCACATGATCGGGCTGTTGCCTAGGTGTGCGCACATCACAAAAGTATGTTCGCCCAGTTCCACTTCAGCGACAAAACGTTACATGGTACTTCTTTCAATCTCTCGGCAATCTACAAGCGGAAGCCTTATCCTTTCATCAACACTCATTACTACAAACCCACCAAACATGAATACACTTGCACACGTCCCGAGTGGCCCCAAAGACATCCTTTTACAGCCTCAATCCAGGTTATTCGCGCTTCCGCGGGAGTTGCGTGATCTGGTCTATGAGTACTATCTTATGGCTGCGGATGGGTATCATTATAATCATGAGACAGGGAAGCTGACACAGATTGGGGGCCAGCCCATAGATATCGCTCTTACCTACACTTGCAAACTGGCAACTGTTGAGATAAATGGTCGCGCGCTTACTCTAAACGCCATCACGTTCACCACAGCTCATGACGAAGGAATCCGCGACCGGGCAGGACAGTACGCACTGATCGTACAAAGACTTGAGGCTTTGAAGTCAGGCATACTTTGCGCTGTCTATGAATGCATCGAATCATCGACCAGCAGCGAGTTTGAGCCCGAATTCTCGTATCTTCTACCCGTCATCAGCCAACTTCGGACGTTGGGAGCGGACCACGAACTCGTTCATAAGAGTTGGGGCGAAACCCCCTCGCTTCATCGCCGATTTGTCGTACGAGCTCTGGAAATACTCTCCGAACACACGAATTTCAGCGAAAGAATCACTAGCGACGTCAACATAGGGCGGTTTGGCGATCGCGTCCATGAGATTCTCTCGCTAGATGACTCGCCCTGGAACACACCAGATAGCAACGAGATAGCCAACATGTGGCGCGTTCTGGACGATGAACCAATGTTCCTTGAGATATGGGAAAGAACTAAACACAGATTCTCCGCGGCAGCGACAGCGATACGGTTCCTTTCGTCACTGCCCAAATCTACGCGATGTCGCATTCGTCGTGTGCTCTTGGACGAGGACCGCGTGTCAGTTGCTTGGCCTGAGTGCCACGCCCAAGGGTTGATTCCCTTCTGTCAGGAAAATGGCGCGCTTCGAGTGGAGCGACGAGTTGATTTGTGGAGAAACGCACTTCCTGGTGGTGCCGAGCCGATAAATTGCGTCGCCAGTGCAGCAAGAAGTCATCATCCTCAAGATCGTATGGATCGTCTGCGCGCCGGATACATCACAAACCCATGCTTAGCACCCTGGATCATGGAAGCACTCGCCCTTGACGGTCTGGGCATGCCACCTCAATGCTTCAAGCTGAAACTCGATGGACAGCCAACACCAGAAAGGAGCTCCGAAGTTTTCAAGGTCGTGCAGCGGGACGCCGCATGGCAGACTGCCTTCGAGAGACATTTTGCAGAGCAACACGATACCCCCAGCTGGTTCGAAATGAGGGATAATGGAAGCTACCAAATGAGAGGATTTCCGGAGGCCATCACAGCCATCGTCCGAGGAACATCGATTGTTAGCTGCAACTTCGATACTGATACTCCAGAAGACCCGGATACTATAGCGCAGGATGGACGTCACTGGACGATGGGTGAATGGGAGCAGCAATGGCGTATGCACGAACCTCGCGCGTTCAATACCGCAGTGCCATTGCCTGGCTGGGAAAGCCTTCGTCTCTCAGAGGAGGCATTGCCGGAATGACTGTGTCGCGATGTAGGATGGATCAGAGCCGTCAGCAGATGCTCAGGTAAGATATCGACAGTTTAGGTCCAAAGGTAGGATCGAAAAGACCCCAGGGCGTTCTGTTCAGCCCAAGCATGGCGCGTATAGCTTCAGTCCGCTTACTTACAACGCCCTCAATACTTATACACATGCCCCAATCAGTTATCAGTTGAATCATCTTCCGTCTATGTTCCTGGTGACTCTTATCAGACCGTTGGGAGCCGACCATCGATTGTTGCGAATTCTATTTCCCAGCGACCATCCCTCAAAGAGATGTAGGGCTTGAGTCAACAGCGTCAAACGAGCGTAGATTCTGATGCGCGTTCAGAGTGCATAGTTTCATCTGCGATCCGTTGGGTGTTAGAGGCTTCAATGTAGTGTGTTGGACATGGGACGGTACCTAGGTAAATTGGCCCTCTCGCTAGCTAGCCTGGCACGTGCCTGGGCGCCTGCCGCGCGATCTCCGCCCGAGCGTCGGTGTGCTGCGACGCTGCCACACTGCCCATACGGCCACTCAACAACTCACCATCACCACAATTTGACGACCTCGTCACACCTTGATGGACCCAGTCAATGCTATCGAACGCGCGCGAAACGCACTGCCCATCGACGTCTTCTAAAGCTGCGCGATTGGATGCCTGACCCTCCCACCTGTTGAATGGGGAGGTCACATTCACAAGGATATTATCGCAACCACTCAACAAGCATGGTGCGCCCAAGCTACATAACCCGAATAGGCCTATAAGAACCAGCATGATACACATCATGAACAGCAGGATTACGTACATCGTGATGCTGACTCTGGCTGAGCTGCAGGGCTCACTTCCTGAATAGTGGACAAGTTCCGCGGTACTACCAAGGCAACCCCATAACTAGGCATCTTCGTGCGCACGAGTGCATTGTTTCCGGATGACTCTGCAACTACCGTTCCAGTACTATAAAGAGCTTGACCACCCGGCTTACAAGACAGTCTCATTTCCCACATCGTTACGCCTTCCACGGTACCTCCCAGACTCGGCAGACCACGTCCACCGCATCCCGATCGATTTACCCCCCGCATTATACAATACTGCCTGGTTCGAAAGCGATTTCCACGAACTATGACGCTTCTGAAGGGCTTCCACAAGCTTCCGCACGAGCTTCGAGACCAGATCTACGAAGAATACTTCACCCTTGAAGGTGGGTACAGATACAACCATAAGACAAACAAGCTACTTACAGCGAAGGGCGAGGCAATTCATCTCAGCATTAGGTTGGCCAGCCGCCAAATAGCTGTTGAGACTCGTGGGCTGGCGCTCAAGCTAAACACAATTAGCTTCTCAACAGTGTTCGATGAGGATCTCCGCGAACGAGCCGGGCACTTCAACAGTCTCCTCACGATGATTAGCGACCTGAAATCCAAGTACCTCGTATGGCGGTCATCACGCTCTGGCTTGATCGATGATGGAGTACGCGACTACGTAGAAGACCACTTCCCCGAGTTCCTGCCAGTCATTCGAACAATGCAACTATCAGACATCAACAATAGTGATAGCAACTCCTGGAAAGAGTCACCATCTCAAAGTCGACGATTCATTGCCTCCACACTGAAGACTATCGCGAAACAACCTTGTTTTGGAGAAGTCATAGAGCGACATTCGTACTGGACTGCGCCAGGTTCTGAGCCAGGTCCTGATCCAATGGCAGTAATATCATGCGAGCATTCGCCATGGATACTTCCGAGCAGCGAGACGATTTCTGCCATGCGCGAAATCATGTTGCCCTACCCAGTCGAGCTCAGTCGTCGTAGACAAGGAAGCTACTGGACCAGGGAGAAGTACCGGTTCTCAGCCGCGACTATAGCTATTGCGTTCTTAGGCTCTATCTCTACGGAAACGCGACTTAGTATACGTAAGATACTACTACTTGAAGACCACACTAGTGTCGCATGGCCCGAATGCCATGGCCAAGGCTTGGTCACATACTGTCAAGAGAATCTCAAATTACGCATAGAACGTAGGGTTGGCCTGTGGAGAGCCTGCCTACCCGCCGCATCCACCCCCCTTCATGCCATCACCGGTAGGGCGCTTGCATACTTACGAGAATACAAGTATGATCGGATCACTGCGAGCATCGTCAGCCGAGGGGAGATGCGCCACGGCGGTATGGCTGATTGGATCATGGAAGTCATGGCATTAGAGAGCTTGGGCATGCCCCAGAACTCCTTCACCCTGATCATAGACGGTGCGGCAGTGCCGGATGGATCGACACAGGTCTTCGATGTTCTACAGCGCGACGCTGCATGGCAGTCGGCTTTTCAGCGGTGCGTAATCGATGCAATCGATTGGCCAAATCCGCACATGTGGCTGAGGTGCCGGGAGAATCTCGCGTACGTCATGAGAGGTTTTCCTGAAGCCCTGCAGGCGATAAGCGATCACAAGTCATCAGTCAAGTGCAACTTCGATACTGGCCTTGTACGCGATGTCGACCAAGTCGTGGCTCTGGGGCGTTCTTGGACTACTGACGAGTGGCTTGTTAATTGGCGGGAGATTGGCGATCAGGCCGACATCCACACCAGTGCGCCATTGCCGAGCTGGCTTGATCTTCGCTGGGAAGATCTACTGGAAGGTGAAAGTATGGACTAATCGCAAGACCCATCGTTTGCCAGAAGGCCATTTACACAGGTGTAGCCGGTCATCACTCTCATGATGGGCTGGAAGTGCGAAGGTCATCGTAGAAAGACTTCACGTCGACCTGGGTGTCATGATAGCGTTTCACTAGTCTAAAACTATGCATGAATCTATATGTTATTGTGCGTTTGAAGTTATACAGTCTGTGGTACTGTAAGCACCGACAATCTGCTTGCGTTGATCTCCTCTGTTTCTTGCACACCTGGGCAGGGTGACACCCGAATAGCGCTCTCCAATGTTACAAATAGGGTCCGAGAACTAGGATCAAAGACGAGGACGATACATGGTAGACAACAAGATGAATGCTCAGACATCAGATATGATTCATTCGTTCGCCGTCTCTAATCCATCATCTTTTCCCACCACTCTCTTGTCTACCCCCCTTCTCCCATCTCGCAAATCCACGTGGTTTTATCCTGGGTTGGACTACCCAGTCTCTTGCACATCTTCATCGTACTCAACATCGCCATGCTCCGGGTAAGCCAGCGGAATTTCTATCGGTGTATGGTCGTTTGGATAGCCCGGCACGTCGATGACAATGGGATCGTTCGTTGCTTGCGATGCCTCCGCGTTTGGTACGAATGTCAGATCAATGACCGCCTGATATGACGGCCACTGATCGGAGGTGTTGATCTCGGTACGACTAGCGTTCCATTTACTCTCCCAATCATCTAGTGCCCAATATAAATGCTCTTCTGGCACTTCGTTCTCGTCAGGCAGACTTCCGATAGGAAAATTGCACCTGACCATCGAGGTTCCATTGGCTACATCCTGTATGGCCCGAGGGAATCCAGCCATGATGAACGTCGGACTTGTTCGGATGATAGCTGGGTGGAGTAGACCACCAGGATTGGTCGATGTGCGTCTCTCAAGCGCAGCTTGCCAAGCTGCGTCTTTCAGGGCAACATTGAGGACTTGGGTAGCGCGCGCTGGGTTCGTGCCGCCGATGAACGTCAATTTGAATGCACGTAAGGGCATACCAAACTTCGCCAACGCGATTGCTTCCATAAGCCAACGAGCAATGTACTGACTACTTGTGGTCGCTATTACATTCCACGACGTCTTAGACATAATCTTCTAAGGTATAGTCTTAAATAGTAAATAACTAGAATTTTAGACTAATAGCAATAAGCAGACCTAATTATATTAGCGTTTAACTTAATACGTAAACTACCTTCTAATAAAGAGGCTTATAAATACTAATATATTAAACTTTTATACTTATAATTCTTTTAACTTTTACGTCTAGAATATTTCTAGACTTTTCTACTATTATTATAGTAGATATTTCTAATTATAATTACGTTCTAGTTATTACTAATACTATACTCTATTTATATAAACTTCTCTCTCTTATTTAAAACATTACTAACGTATTCTACTTTCTACTTTTAGCTCTTAGTAGTATTTAGGTTAGATATATATTAAATATTAAAAGTATTATATACTATTACCTTAATTATATTATTCTTATAAATATACTAAAGTTTCTTATAGCTAATAGACTATATAAATTTCTCTCTATATAGATATAATTACTATACCTAAACACTTATAGATATATAACTATTAAACTATATTAAAAGTATATAGATAAATACTAGTAAGATATTACTATCTACTATAAAGTAGCGCTAAATACGCTAGAGCTAACTCTAAAGTTTATAAATAGTATTAATTCTAAAAAAATAGACTATAACTAAGTAGATACTATAAGTCTTTATAATTATCTAAAGTAAGTTTATAACTAGTTATAAGAGCTACTAGATTAAAAGTTATATTTTCTATACTAGAAAATTTAGTACGTTAAGTTTTATACTAAAGAGAGTAGTGTAAAGAATAGTATATTACTAAGTAATATTCTTATCTAACTAGAAAGTATAATTAGGCTCTTTAGAAAAGTAGAAGTAAAATTAGTATATAATAAAGCTAAAGAATAAGATAGATATTAATAGAGTAGTAATATCTTAAGTAGACTTTTACTTATAGATATATCTAAGACTATATAGATATCTAGAAGAAATAACTATATTTTAGATACTAACTAAACTATCTATCTAAATTAGTTTAAAAAGTACTTTTCTTTCTTCTTTAGGCGCTTTTATTAGTTATTAATAATAAATCTATTTTATAGTAAGATTCTTACTATACTTATACTTACCTTATCTACTACTAAAGAAATAGTCTACTATTACTAGAATAAATCTAATATAGTATAAGAAAGTAATTTTTTATATCTTACGTAAAGGTTTTATTATAACTACATTAGTATAAAAATTACCTTAGTATCTATTATAAGTAGATAGTACTTACTATTAGACTTCTTTTAAGATTACTTAGTATAACTTTCTAAAAAAGATTAAATAAAGAATTAGTATTTTATTCTATACTTAGATTCTATTACTATAGCTCTTTACCTTAGAGATATATTTAGCACTAGTACCTAGGTGTGCCTATTAAGTAGAAAGTAACTAATATACCTATACTATAAAGTAATATAAAGTACGTTTACTATACTTATTAAGCTTAGAAGTAACTATTATATATAGTTTAAACTCTATATAGATTAAGAAGCTATATAATCTATAATACTAGCTTAGATTTAATCTATACAAATCTTTTAAATAGAAGTTTCTAGAGCTATTACTAATATAAACGCCTACACTAGTGCTAGAAAACTATAAGTATATTATTAGATTACTTTAGAAATAGAGTATATCTAAGAGTATCTATATAAATAACTATAGAAAAGAGCTTAGTATATTAAAAGATAGCAAGAATCTATAGATAGTCTATTATATAATATATCTATTCGCAAAGCTAAATAAATATAAACTAATAATTAGAACTTAGATTAGCTCTAGTAAGTGTAAGTAAAGCTTTAATAGACTTACTAGAGCTTAGTAAATTAGAAGTAAATTTAAAATAAGTTCTTTAGTCTATTAGATTAGTTTACTACTATTAAGAGTTAAAGAAGAGAAGAATTTATACTTATAAAACTATAGCGTTTCTAGTTAAAAAGTTACTTTTAGTAGTAAGGTAGAAGACTATCTATAGAAATACCTTATATTAGTTACTAAAGAATAGTATTACGTAAAGAGTAGTATTAAATAAGTGCTATAGATATCTAAGAATAATAAAAAATATATAGTAAGTAAAGCTAATAGTTAATTATTATAAAACTACTAGTATATATATATAGAGCTATATAATTAAGTAAATTATACTAGATAAATACTTTTTCTAATCTTAACTATCTATAAAGTACCTAGATAACTTTAATAGTAACCTTACTTTATTATTAAGACTAATAGTTAGTTACTAGTATCTTCTTATTACTTTTAAGCTATATCTCTAGATAAGAAAGTATCTATAATAATACGTAGCTTACTATTACTATTACTACTTACTATATTATAGAAGTAAGTAATAAGACGCTTAACTTATATATCTATTTCTAAGCTATCTATAGGCTTTACTTTTCTTATAACTTTTACCTTTAGAGTTTTTATAGTTAATCTATTCTAAAGTATACTATCTATATTAGTATTTAGTACTTTAAAGATAGTTAGTTTCTATAAAGTAGTTTAATATAAAGACTTTAGACTAGACCTAGATATAAAGTTACTAGAACTTTCTTAGACTATAAAATTCTATATCTCTTTTTTATAAAAGCTAATAGTTAGATCTTAAAGAAATCTATAGCTTTCTAATAGTATTTAGTACTAGTAAAAAGGTTTCTAAGAAAAGCTTAAAATAGTAAGATAGCGTATATAATCTAAACTAAGATTATTACTACTTTTAAGATCTACTAGTATCTTCTAAAATATAATTCTCTTAACGTTTTTAAGTTTAGAAGTTTTACTAGTAAATACTAGATTTACCTAGTATAACTACTTAATAGCTATTATATATTACTATTCTAAAGACGTTTAATATTAGCTAAGCTAAACTAAAGAATATATTATAAAGATTTCTAAGGTAATAACTAATATATAAATATTCTTAACGTTATTATATAGTAATTATAAATAGCTTAACTTTTATATTATACTTATTACCTAAGACTAGTAGTTACTTAAGATATTCTTAGACGTAGATAAGTATTATATAAATATAGTATAGAGAATAGTTCTAGATTTCTTTAGCGTGCTCTTAGAGGTAGGCTTAGTAGTAGCTATAGTTAAAGACTTATCTTCTAATATAGCTTTATAGTTCTTAGAGGCTAGTCTAGTTATAAGTATAGCTAGTAATCTATCTTTAAATATAGCTTTAAAGTTCTTAGAAATTAATATAATATAAAGTATAGCTTTAGACTTACTATTAGATATATTCTTTTTACTATAGTTAGAGGTTAACTTACTTATAGGCGTAGAACTAAACTTATTATTAGATATATTAGCGCTACTAGTAGAAATTACTAGAGAAGCCTTCTATAATCTCTTTATAGGTAGATAATTTAAAGCTTATTACGCCTCTAGTAGTATATTTAAGTAGCTTCTCTTAGATATACTAGTGTAGACTAGATAAGAGTAGTTAGTAGTTAAGAGAAAAGAGAAAAGAGTAGAGTACTACTTATAACTAGAAAGGTACTAGTTTACTAACTAATATTTATATATTATATACTTAGTAATTAAGTAGTAAAAGAGTAATAGTTATAGCTAGTAGTATCTATTTAGTATACTCTCTAGTAGATTCTATCTTACTAGCTTTTTATCTATATATATTTAGTAGCTACTACTATAGTAGATATAATATTATATAAAACGTATAAGATATATATTAGTAAACTACTATCTTATAAGTAATATTAAAAGCTACTATAGGTATATTTAGCTCTAAGTAGACTAGTAATAGATAGAGAGCGTATACTTATAGAATTAGAAAGCTTCTAAGATTATTTATATATCTTAAGAAAATAATAAAAAACTATATATATTTTTAACTTAAACTAT